GTGTATGTTGGTGTTGCATACAAGGGCATCCCCAACATCGACTAACAGGCTTTCATAATACAGTTCATTGAAGTATGATATTGTTTATATTAAAGAGGTCTGACTGAGGTTGTATAATGCTGACTGTATCACTACTTACTGTACCACTTGCTATATCTATTCCCTCCATATTTCTTTGTACACGCCACTTTCCTTGCTTACTCTTCTGTTTTTCAGCTAAACTAAAAAATATAGTGTTTTCCATCTCTCCAATCCCCTAAACTTCGTACTTTTACTCCTCGCCAATAATGTTCATGCCTTGATAGCAGACCCATCCATCAGGGGGTGGGAGATGGGCAGTGGATGCTTCTCATTTCAATGGGTATCCACGGGCCATTAGGCTCCCGGGGCCAGGTTAATGGACCCTCACTAATGGGGGGAGTCGGGTGGCCATCACAGACGACCCCCCTCCCTACACCCCACGGTGTAGGGAGGGAGGGATCATTAGCACAGATTTAAACGGATACAGATGAACACACAAACACATGTATTTTAGGGGTGTGAGGATTAGTCCTCACAAGGACTAGGATTGTCCTAGTGTTTAGGATTGTGAGATTAGCCACATCCACCTGCGTTAACGTTAAGCCCAAAGTCACCCTGACAATTTGTCACAGACTGCTGGACGTTTTGTACGGTCCATGGTTTGTACGGTGTTCTGGTGACGTTGCGCTGAGCCATCAGTGCAAGTCACCATCATAATGCTTGAAAGACCTTAAATATTTAAGTTCAACAGAACGCAATTGTTACATGTGTTGTTGCTTTGTTTTGCGGATTTACAAACTTCTTGAAAGCTTTTGTTAAGATCTTCGCATTCCTGTACTTTATTATCATCCTCCATGTGCCCCCCTCCCTCCCTCCCTTCAAGTTCAAGTATGTTTATTGAGACAAGAAAATACATCTCAGAGGGATAGAGTAGCTTTGGCTATTTATGTCCCCTTTTGTGCCGTCCGATAACCTGTTGTTGTTCATCCATGTTCTGAGGTGGCTGTGAAGGAGGTGAGGCTCCGCTTTAACCTTGGGGTTTTGTATGTATGCAACTAAGTTTTTATGTGGCAGGTAAGAGGTATTTAAAAGGTATATTTGGTGTTAATGAAAGGGTTTCTCGAGACGAATTCCTATAAAGGGTGAGTGAGCAACAGTCGCTGGCCCATTTAGAGCACGAAATAATTTATTTCGATGAATCCTGGTTATTGAAGGGTCTCGTGTCTTGAATATAGTGTTGTTGACTTGTATGGAGCTGTAATATTGTGGGAAGCTTCAGTGTCTAACCTGGTAAATGACTACCGTGCACGCAGGGGCACGACAAATCATAATCCTGGCGTCATTTGAACTTAGTGGTAGGGCTCGGCACGTCGACAACGGGGTCGTTGGCACACTTCTGCAGGCCGGTGTGTGTCTGGCCCCCGCCCCTGTTCCGGGCCCGGGGGGTGGGAGTCAAGGTTGCCGAGGAGGCCTGAAGGTTATTCCTTAGAGCTACCTTGCAGATAATTTTTGTTTTTGTAGTTTATTTTCCCTCACAGACGATTTTTTTTTACAATGCTAACTAGGATATATATACTTTACATAGTCTGTATTAGGTATGTTTTACTGCAAACTGTGTAGTGGGCTATTAGTACTCAGCCACATAAGATGAGTAAAGCATTTTATAATGACAGTTGTATTGTAAAATCAGCATATATCTGGTAGCTATATCGAGTTCGCTGATATAGATATTTGCCTGCGTGTAAAATAGTTTACCAAAATAGGAAAATCTTCTGAAAGTAAAAGGCTTTATTTGTGCAGTATTTTAAATAATACTTTCCCGGCCGTAGTGTGTTGTCATTCTTAAAGAGTTTATTTAAGAGAAAGTGTCATCAAAGACCGGCAGGTTAGTGTGTGTACAGAAACAACAGCTGTCATGATAACGCTATTCCATGTTTTGAGCTAACCTTACTTGGAAGATTGCCTTACCTGGAAATTTGCCTCACCAAGGCAAAAGGAAAGAATATATATACAGTATATATATATATATATATATATATATATATATATATATATATATATATATATATATAATATATATAATATATATAATATATATTAAATATATAATATATATATTATTGCCCGCCGGCACTCTGATGGTAATCTTGGGCATGGTATTTTATCAAATCACCTCATTGCCGGCGGGATAATGGGGGAATTAGCCTCGGCTACCATCATCTTTTGTCCAGTCGTGATGGTCGAGTGGTTAAGGGGTCCTGTACACCAGTTGCAGAGTGCTCCTGGCAGTATGGGTTCAAGTCACCTCTGGGGTGTGAGTTTTCAGTTATATAATATTATATATTATATATATATATATAATATAAATATATATAATATATATATTTTTATATTTTTATTTAATATATATATTATATAAAATATATATATATATATATTTTATATATATATATGTCGTACCTAGTAGCCAGAACTCACTTCTGAGCCTACTATGCAAGGCCCGATTTGCCTAATAAGCCAAGTTTTCATGAATTAATTGCTTTTCGACTACCTAACCTACCTAACCTAACCTAACCTAACTTTTTCGGCTACCTAACCTAACCTAACCTATAAAGATAGGTTAGGTTAGGTTAGGTAGGGTTGGTTAGGTTCGGTCATATATCTACGTTAATTTTAACTACAATAAAAAAAAATTCACCTCTTACATAATGAAATGGGTTGCTTTATCATTTCATAAGAAAAAAATTAGAGAAAATATATTATTTCATGAAAACTTGGCTTATTAGGCAAATCGGGCCTTGCATTGTAGGCTAAAAAGTGAGTTCTGGCTACTAGGTACGACATATATTGTGACGGTAACGCGTTGGTGTTCGGCTGTTTAAGGCTAGGGGTATGGCCTCGTCACATAGTTATAAAAAAAAATAGAAAAACTGGAACTTCGTCTGTGGTAAGGTAAGGAGAAGACACACAAAACACAAGTAAAACTTTAACAATGAAATTTTAATTACGTTAAATAAATCAAAACATGAAAATAATGCACAAACAAATATGTATAATAAAATCAATGAATCAAAATAATAAGAATACTGAAATGACACAATGAAAGTTACGTTAAGGCAAAATAATAAGAAGTGCAACACAAAAGTTAAGTGGGAGGTGCTGGAATATTGGCTTAAAGCCACCACCTCTCTCAGTACACGCTAACGTCTAGCTGGGAGGAGTGCTGGCTACGAAAGCACGGAACATTCTGAGGACTGATGTTGGGGCGACCCCAGACATCAGGTAGTATTGGGGGCGAGTGCAGGTGCAGCCAGACCGGCGACCAATCAGCGGAGCCGTAGCGATCAACGGGTAGTTTGGTGGTTGGAGTTCGAACAGGTGGCTGGTTGCATACGTTTCTGCTCACCCTGGCAAGCCTTGCTGGTGCTGGTGTTGTTGTCGTTGTTGGACATTTCTTCCATAGTCTTTTTATATAATTGTGAAGACGTAATTTTGGAGGGAAGAGCAGGCTCAATCTCTTGAAGGAGATTATCGTCACAATATATATATATATATATATATATATATATATATATATATATATATATATATATATATATATATATATATATTTTATTTATTTTAATGTGTGTAAATCACACAGAAATTAACACATAATGAATAATGTAATGCTGTCAACCACGAAGGAAAAATGAGACAGGAAATTCCTTAAGTACTTTCATATTAATACTTCCTCAGAAGGATGAATATTAAAAATTAGTTGTGGATATGTAGGAAGGAATGAGGCGAGGTGAAAAAAATGTCTGGTTCACAAACATAAGAGGAAATTGCAGAAGACCCATTGACAAATACATGTGAGTATTTGTATATGTGAGTAATACATGTGAGGAAGCAACAATACTAATGAGATAACTGTGTATTAATGATATACTTAAATTGTTTTTAATTTATCAATTAAAAATTGATTAAAATTATACTAATAATTACTAATGTTCACAATGTATGACTTTGTGATTTGTATTAAAGCAGATTCAATAATGTTTCTGTTTAAAATATTTTTACAATTTGCCATTGAAGCAGATCTCCACCAATCAATTTGGTGAGAATTTTCTGACAAATGAACAAACAGAGCATTATATAATTGGCTATTTTTTACAGAATGTTGTGAAATTCAAAATTTCAAATCTTTGGATGTTTGACCTACATAAATCCTATTACAGCATTTACAAGGTATTTTGTAAATTACATAGTTATCACTATAAAGGCTGCTTTAAACTAATAATGTTCCAACTGTGTTTTCATAATTAACACATGACTTAAGTAAAAGTGTAACTTTGGTACCAGTTAAGGAAAGAAATGCAAGAGGTGGGGGACTTGGGCTACCTATGAACGTTCATTGTTGATGTTGTACAGTATTGATCTCTCTGGGGTAGCGAGGGAGAGAGACCTTTGTGGCTCACCCATTAAAGGGAGCACGTTGAGTCCTCTCCCATACTACCTATTGAAGGGAGCTCATCAAAACCTCCCTCATGCTACTGAAGAACACAGCATTATTAACAACATTTAAATAATGTTGGCAGATGTAGCATGCACTTGCTACCCTAACCACTATAATGATGGTTTTGTGTTGATCATAGTAGAGGTTGCCGCAGTTCTAGGAAGTAATCATTTAGTCAGTGAAGTTGAGAAGGTAGTTTGCTTGTTAACTTAACAGGATAAAGGTAGTTTTATCATTTTAGCTTGTTAGACTGAAGGCTTGTAGTTTTATAAATATCATCAATAATTTCCAAAGTATCAATACATACTGTACATGTAAACATTTTTATTTATTCTGATTACTCAACAATATTTAAATGTAATTTCAACATTGTAATATAGTATATATCATTTGTGTTTTAAATACAGTACTGCATTGTGATGAGTATTCTATAACATGCGCTTGTTGAAAAGGCTAGCTCTATATCAGTGTTGTTTTACAGGTCATTGAATGCTTTAAAAATGCTCAACTATATCGACGTGAACGTGTATCCCACGAGCAGCCTCGAGAGATGGTGGTGCTCTTTACATGGCTTGGTGCCAAGCAGAAGTATGCTCACAAGTATGCAAATTGCTGGACTCGACGAGGTCATGATGTCCTCCATGTCACTACTTCTGTCATGGACCTTCTTTTTCCCAAAAGTGGAGCAGAGGTAACATTTAATTTAAGTCTTGGAGAGAACCAAACATTTGTTTTACAGGAGAGTAAAAGTAAGAGGGAAGGAAAATAACTCTGGAACCAACATTTATAGAGGGCTCTATTACCTGTTCATTCAGTTTAGAACATGCTAAAGATGCATGGCTTCATAGCAGTTAAAGAAAAATTCTGAAACTGAGGGGCATTTACACTATAAATTAGTGCCAGATAAGCTTATACACAAATTTGTGTCCTAGGTTGTTTAATATAAAAAATAAATTGGGTGTAATAAGTTTGAAATAACTCTTAGTGAGCGTTCAGTCACTTCCTGATCCAGGGCCTGTGTCTATCCAGAACGCCACAGTCCTGTCAGATACTCTCGATCAAAGCATTGAAACTTCTGAGAAAAAAATTACCTGGTACCTCAGAGTAGGTATTGATAATCTTGTGACATTGTAAACTCATCATGATGATACAGATATGGCAGGTAAATTAGCATGCAACAAAGATGAAATTGAACTAAATTTAGGTACCCCCCCATTGTTCTAAACACTCAGATCTGATTGTAGGGAAATCAGATACTAAATGGCTAGAAAACACCAGTTAAAAATATTTGTTTTAAATCTGCATTATGTGTATGGTGGTTGTGGTGTTTGTAGCAGTGATAGATGTAAATCTTGATATAATTGTTTGCATTATCAACTTGTGTTATTTGAAAATGTAGGACAGATTAGATTGTTGATGATGATTTGCCAAAAATAATGTTCAGATCTACAGAAACACACACACATAGCATTTATTCAGGTCATATATATTGAAGCCTTGAAAAGAGATCTACATGAACTACACAAATTGTCAAAGACTCGCAAATGCTCTTTTTTTTTAATATTGACAAATGCAAGACTCTGCATGTAGGGCGTAGCAACCCATGCCACAACTACCAAATTAGTAATATTACATTACAGCAGATTAGTGAAGAAAATGACCTTGGAGCCAAAATCCACCACTCACTGAAAGTTGCACAACAGGTAGGAGCAGCAGTCAAAAAACCAGCGTTGAAAGTAATGAAACGCCGTTTTCTGGGTGAGACCCGGAGGCTCCCCGAAGCTTTACCAGGCTGATATGCTAATGTCAGACTTTGGCATCAGTCATGTGTATGGAGTTCTAGGGCCTACCGGGGACCACGGCCAGAACCTGGCCCCCTCAGAGAGGCAAGGGGAGCAATGGCCTATAGAAACCCCCGTGTGGTAGGAAGCATTCTATGTCTGCCATCGACTGGGTCAAGCATCCAGAAAGGTAAGCATTCCAAAACAAACCCCTATTCTGGTGAAAATTGCTACCTAAAGCCAAACTAGTGGATAGAACTCTTCAACAGAAAACAAGGAAACTAGTATGACGTCATACGTCACCGCGCCGCTGTCTGCGCAGCTCCCCCCTCCCCGGGAGGGGGAAGGGGGAGCCCCAGACCTCCCACGCCGGTTATCCACCCATCAGTTCTGAGGCTGGATGTCAAAACACGAAAAACCGCTGACCGGAGGGAGGGTGGGTTGCCGGGGAGCCTCCGGGTCTCGCCCAGAAAATGGCGTTTCATTACATTCAACGCTGGTTTTCTGGGGGGAGCCCCGTTGGCTCCCCAGAGCTAACTACCCACAGAGGAAGGTCAAAGGGACAGAACCGGGAGGCGGACACCACGCACCCCCCACGGAAGCGAGACAACCGGCAGCAAACGCCAACCCAAGGCGCCACAGCCCCGAGAAGTCCCGGGAACAACACGAGAACAACGAGCAGCAAGGCCCCGACACGAACACCAAAAATCCATGCCCGAAAGACCGCAAGGCCAAGTTGCCCAGACGGCAGCGAGAGCAGCGAAGCCACGAACGCCACGGGCATGAGGGAAGAACACAGGTAGCTTAGCCGTAAGAACACGGCTGACCAACTGGGACACCATCACCCGCGAACCGGGAAGAACAGAACCGGATCAATGCAAAACGCGCTCCGGACCCAAACGCCGTGGCACGCAAACAACAACGGGGGGCCGCCACTGAACACAAAACACGACACACCCTCGGCCCGACCAACGAAGCACCAACAAAACCTTGGACCCCTCCAGAACGCAGCAGCCCCACCCTGCGCCAGAAAAGATGGAGACTGCTGCCACCGAACAACCAAAACGCTAAAACCGAAGGAGAAAGAAAACGCAGCGACTCGACCCCCAGAGGCAAAGGCCAAAAGGAAAGAGCCGACGAAAAAACACACTGGAACCGAAGGGGCACTACCAACCGAGGAGAAGACAGAGCACGCTGACCAGAGACCAGGATGGTGCAAGCGGAGCACGAACAGGCCGGAGATGAAACGACGCACGAGACAGATTACTAACAGAGCAGAAGCAACACCAAGACTGAAAGCAAGCTGAAGCGGCTCTGCCAACGCCGCACGAAAAGAGGCGACAGTATGTGGCAAGACGACGGCCCCCAACCCCCACCAGAAAACCAAGCCGAGAGTAAACCAAGCTAACAAGAGTAACCACCTAAGAAGGGACAGGAAAAAGAAGGACCGCCAAAATACCCCATACTACCGCCAAGAGAAGCACGCAGGTGGGACACCTACCACGAAGCCACCCGACCACCAACCGGAGGCGAGACCGCGAAGCAGAACATAAGCAGCCCGACAAGGCCCCTCCGAGCCCAGGAAAAAGGCGGAGCCGCGGGAAGATCTCGGGCGCGACCACCAAAACCCAGGCGGCACAAGGAGATGGAACGTCTGCCGGACAGAAAAACTCCCCAAAGCATGCAAGCCCGCCAGGAGTTCAGAAACGACGGGTCCGACGTGAGACATCGCAAGACCCCAAAAAAACCCAACCGGCAGGGCAAGCTAGGAAACCAAAGAAGGCAGAAGGGTCGCCGCCAGAACAGTACCCGAACCAAGGGGTACAAACAACTGCAATAGACCGAGACAAAAAAAGCACACCACAGGACACAGGCTGAAAAATGCCCAAGAACACACGCAGAACACCCCTGCTGCAGAGGAGGCAGGATGAAAAAGCAGAAGCACAAAAACCCCAGGAAAACAACCAGGGGTGGACAATCAGGCAGGGACAGAAAAACCCCACGCAATCCCCAGGCACAAAACAGCAGCAAAGCGCCACACCACAACCAGACACAGGAACAAGGACATGCCACCATGAAACACAGTACCAATGCACACGTGCAACAGCAGCAACAGGCACCACCTCAACATGCAACATGTAAATAGCAACTCCCTTCTGCAAAGGCAGATAAACGGAGCAGGCAGACCCCAGACAGGGCCAACGGAGACACGACAAAACCCAGCAGGCCCAGAAACCTGCACCAGGCGACCGATGGCGGAGAAACCCCGCTCGATACCTGCTGGATGGGGTACTGGGAGCTCTTTTACACCCCAAGCCCAGCATAAGGCCAGACTAGACTGGCCAGAGGGTGGCCCACCAGGCAGCTGCTAGGAGCGGCCCGCCGGCCCACATACCCCCACAACCAGGATGGGCCGAACTGGTATACAAAAACAGGTTAATGTGCCCTGGAAGTCCACGGACGAACCAGCAAGAAGGCTTATGCTCGCAAGTAGGTCGTGTAACAGCCACAGACCTCTGATGGTAATACAGTGTTCCCCAATTGTGCCTATAGCACCACTGCACTCCACTGGTACTATCCCGCAAGTTCTACCAGATAGGCGGGACCCAAGAGCCAGAGCTCAAACCCTGCAAGCACAGCCAAGAGTCTTACCAGGTGAGTACAGAACCAACCCTACAACCCCCACATCTCACAACATGAAAAAAGGTGGGTCCCCTGAATGACTCTAGCATGGATTGGACATGCACATGAGGGGGACAGGAAGGGTTGAAAAAGGGACAGGCACTGGTGTGCGAACGGTCTCAGTCGTACAAAAATAAACCTAAATAAAGACAGGTATATAAACACCGCATCCAGCTCCCAGCCAAAAGACGCCAGACCGCAGAAACTCGCCTGGCGAACGGTGGCACGAACGTGACACGACTCAACCGTGCCCAGAAGAACCTGGGAGCACCGCCAGGTGAAGACGCCAGTGCCAGACCCTGCCGGACCCGCTGGAGTGCAGGGATAGGCGAATGAGGCGTCCCACACCCATGACACAGGGAAAACCGCGGCGTCCTCCCCACAACTGGGAACCAGGACACCCCTGGAGCGAAGGGGCACATACCGCAGCCAGGGAGAAGAATGAGAGGCGAAGCACTGTAGGAAAAAGGGCGCAAAACACCAGCACTGAAACACCGCCCAGACCAAAACAAACTCCACGGCGCATGCACATGACCTACTCTGCGGAAATGCGCCAACCAGGACTACTGCATTAGAAAAGTAGCCAAAAGAGGAAGCAGGAACAATAAAACCGGCCAAAGAAGCAAAGAGAGCCCAAAAAGGAGCCCAACAGGGCGACAAAGAGCCCAACAGGGCGACAAGGAGCCCAACTGGGCGACAAGGAGCCCAACTGGGCGACAAGGAGCCCAACTGCGCGACAAGGAGCCCAACTGGGCGACAAGGAGCCCAACTGGGCGACAAGGAGCCCAACTGGGCGACAAGGAGCAAAACTGGGTGACAAGGAGCCCAACTGGGCGACAAGGAGCCCAACTGGGCGACAAGGAGCCCAACTGGGCGACAAGGAGCCCAACTGGGCGACAAGGAGCCCAACTGGGCGACAAGGAGCCCAACTGGGCGACAAGGAGCCCAACTGGGCGACAAGGAGCCCAACTGGGCGACAAGGACGAGGAGCCGACAGACGTTCCAATAATTCGGGAAGTAGCGAAAAACCTTCCTGAACCCTCGAGAACACAGAAGCCTACACTAGTCCCGAAGGCACACAAAGGCGCAGGCGCACCCGAGATCAGAAGTCACGTAGAACCCCATCGAACGGGGAAACATGACGAAAACACCATCCCAAAAAAAGGGTGGGAGGAAACAGCCACCCACAGGACGGAACCAACCAACTCAAAGGCCAAGGAACCGAGCCCGGGGAGGGGCCGACGCCCAACAGCACGTACGGTGAGTGGGGAGGAAAGACCCCACTCCGCGTAACCACAAGCCCCGCCTAGAGGGGGATAAAAAACCCCACAGGGTCCAACGGGGCCAAGGCCCCCCAAGTCAGCCCCTCCCCAGCCCCGGGAACCTACACGACAGGCCCCGGGGCCGAGCCGTTCCCCCAAAGCCCTGGCCGTACCAGAAAACCGGGGCAGCCGTGAAAACACTAAGGAAGGGAGCCCACTGGCAGACTCATACAACACGGCTGGAGGAACAGGCTCAAATGCCCCCATCACTACCCCGGAAGGGGAATTCCCCGAGACTGCCCGAGTCTCAACACCGTCAAAAACCCCGCCCCGAACCTACAGACGGTAAGGAACCGGATGCAGGCAGGAAGGGTGATCCAGGGGAAAGACAACGGGGCATGGATGGAACTGAAGCAACCAACACCCCCAAGTCCCAAAACGAACTAAAACGGGGCAGCCCCGGGGCTCCCGGGGCTCCCAGGGCTCCCGGGGAGGAAACCACGAGAACATTGCCACCACCAAGGCTCAAGTGCAACGCCCCTGCTGCTCGCACCCGCTTAGTCAGCACAACTGGGTAACCGAGCCACAACGAGCAACCAAACTCACAGGACTCCAGGTCGAAGGTGTCACCGACCCCACAGGCAGCAGACGGAGGCAAAACAGTCACCCAGAGACAAAGGGTGAGAGCAACCCTCAAACTCGCTGGAAGCGAGGGGGGGACTCTGGGGTCACATCCATCGGACCCGCGCGCCCCCAGGGGTTTCCCAGGGTCCCGAGCGTTTACTATAAGAGGACTCGCGCTCAGGTAATCCCAGGCAGGGTACTGCTAACCGGCACCCAAAGCTACCAAACAACTTTCTAAGAGCTGAACCCCCGGGACGTGTACACTCACGGGGACCTAGCAGGGGGTACCACCAGAAAATACTCAGAACACAAGGGACACAAGGGGCAAGAACGAAGACAGATCCCCCCACCAGGTAGATAAACAAAAAGAAAAAGAAAACCCTGCAAGAGGACAGCGTACCCAAGCGGAACAGAGCCGGCCGCTTGTAAAGACAAGCTGCACAGTACCCTGCGCCCCACCAGTGCAAAAACTGCCCCTTACTCTAAGGCGAACAAGGGAGACAGAACACCCGAACACACACAGAGCGGCCGAAAACCAAGCAGTAAACGGCCAAGCAGGGGCAGGACCCAAGGAACTTGTGGAAGGCGGCCCCAAACCCCAAGGGCAGTACTTACAGGGCACCTAGGGAAGGGAACCCTAGGCGCATGCAGCTCGAGTACTGGAGAATCACTCCCGGCTCACGCACCCCCTAGAAAACAGACACCACACTCTAGGTACAGTGCTGAAACAACCACTGGAGCCGGAGCACAAAACCGATGCCTATAGCATCAGCCGAAGAACTGATGGGTGGATAGCCGGCGTGGGAGGTCTGGGGCTCCCCCTTCCCCCTCCCGGGGAGGGGGGAGCTGCGCAGACAGTGGCGCGGTGACGTATGACGTCATACTAGTTTCCTTGTTTTCTGTTGAAGAGTTCTATCCACTAGTTCGGCTTTAGGTAGCAATTTTCACCAGAATAGGGGTTTGTTTTGGAATGCTTACCTTTCTGGGTGCTTGACCCGGTCGATGGCAGACATAGAATGCTTCCTACCACACGGGGGTTTCTATAGGCCATTGCTCCCCTTGCCTCTCTGAGGGGGCCAGGTTCTGGCCGTGGTCCCCGGTAGGCCCTAGAACTCCATACACATGACTGATGCCAAAGTCTGACATTAGCATATCAGCCTGGTAAAGCTCCGGGGAGCCGACGGGGCTCCCCCCAGAAAAGCTAACTAAACCCATGGAATAATCAAGCATACCTTTAAATTTTAGGAAAATGAGGTAGTGATTCAATTGTATAAATCTCTGGTGCATTTGGATTACTGTTTATAAGTATGGAAACCACATCTTCAGGAGGACATAGATGCTCTGGAGAAAGTGCAACACCGGGTAACAAAAATAATTCCAGAGCAAAGTCAACTCACGTATCAGGAATGGTTGAGGGCCACAGACCTAACAACTCTGCAAGCCATGGCATGACAGGGCAGATCTCATTGAAACTTTTAAAATACTGAACAGTTTGGAGGATATTGATCCGGATAATTTCTTCAAAAGATCAGATGTAATACAAACAAGGAGCAGTAGTTTCAAACTTAACAAGTTACAATGTAGGACTGAGAACGGGAGATGCTTTTTCACCCACAGGGTTATAAACCTATGGAACTGCCTACCCACTAAAGCCATAAATGCCAAAACTCTGTTAAATTTTATAGTCCAACTGGAAAAGATTATAATGGCAAATGCGGGACTTTCGACAAGCTGCCAGCTTCCTGTCCTCATCAAGGCCACTAGTGTTAGTGGCCCCCTCAGATAAATTCAGGTAAATTATAGCAGCTTACAACTGAATGGTCCCTTGTTCAATTCCCAAGCAGGATGAGATGTTTAGGCACATTTCCTTACACATCTGTTAACCTAGAATTAAATAGGTACTGGGACTTTAGAAACTGTTTTGGGTTGCATATTGGGTAGGTTGCTGGCTTAGGGATGACCTCGGTAATCTTAACAGCCTTCCTGTTCCCGACAATGGGAGGCAATTACAAATGTAAATTGTAGATATTTACCGATGTAGTTACATTGATAGCACAATATATTTGAACAAATCCACAAGGGCCTTGATGAGGGTTTGAACCTATGCGGTGTTCCCAAGAATGTTCCCAATGTTCCCAAGAATCCAAAGGCCTTTGTGGATTTGTTTATTTGATATACTGTATCACGTTATTGGGATTTGTGTGTGTACAATATATTTATTATTTAATTCATTTTGTCAAGGACAGGCAGCAGGATGCAACCCCACAACAACCTGACTAACTCCCGGGGTACAGTACCCGTTTACGGCTAGGTGAACAGAGGCATTAGGTGATAGGAAATGTGCCAGACCATTTCTGTTGACAGGTCATGAAAATGAACTACATTATTTCCACGAACATCATTAATATGGCCTTTAACAAATTATTTATCTGAACAGGAAACAGCATCACGGGTGGTGGACTTCTTGGGTAAAAAAGATAACAATGTGATAGTCCATGGTCTGAGCGTGGGCGGCTACCTCACTCAGAGGGTTCTTATGGATGCTCGCAACTCAACAGTGCATATTTCACATCAAATATTTGACAGTTTCAGTAAGTAGTTGTTTCTAATTTAAAAAAAAATTGGCCTTGATTATTTTAACTCAATTTTCTTCATGAGAATTTTATTTTCATTACCGTATATAATGACACATAGTAACTTTAAATGCTTTTGTGATTATTTTCTATACTTTGACACACCATTAAGATAAATGTGTGTAATTTATCCTTATAAATTTTTTACATCTAATTTAATCATATGAATATAATAGAGGTTTACAAGAAAAGGGGTTAAAACTGGAATCTTTGAGTTTCTTTATGAAGACATTCTCATGATCTTTTCAATTTCAATTTCTTTCTTTATTATGCACCCCATACCCATCCCGTGGGCAGTGGTGGAAAGGGTTAAAGAGGCACATAATGGGTTCAGGAACTGAACCCCATAGTTCGTTTAGTTAAGCAAGTGACAATCTTTTGAAGCTAGTTACACAATTGTTAATGTTATATATACATGTACATATATATACAGTACAATTATTTACACAAATACATATACACATCGATAATCTTCTGTATCACAAGTAATTCAAGAAGAGGCTCACAACAGTCACTATACAAGGCACTTTACATCTATGGTGAGTCACACAGTTACTAGCCTTGCTCCACACCCACCCAACTGGGCGGCAGCTTTACAGTCATGTAAATTACCTACAGTAAGCAAATTTTGGATACTTCACTAAGATTCCTGGCAGTATATCATCATGAATGAAGTACACAATTCTTAGACTTCATTGATAGTGTCTCTTAATCGCTGCATTTCTTAATCTCTACTGCAGCATTTTTCCATTTGATCTTGTTGATATCCTTCCATGCCCGGCTTAGTGGCATGTGAGAATTGAGACCACTGACAAAAGTTTCCCAGTCTGTCTGCCTCAGCTCTATCATACGTTCCCTGGCCTCTGCCAGAGCCTTTTGAAAGAGCCTAAGCATTTCAGCAGTGTGGGCCCTTCTATAAGCTAGTCCAATTCTTCTGGCAGTGCATTTTAGTGCATGTAATTTGAAATCATTATAATAGGCATAACTGCTATGACCAATGTAATTTGGGTTACGTGGCCTGGACAATGGATCAAGTGATTCTATGATATCTCACATAGGTTTGATAGTACCTATGTGAGTTCATTGTTAAAATCTTCAACTGAAGAAGGTTCAAATGAATTCTGACCCTCAAATGAATTCTGAATGGTACACATGAGAATTCTTCTCATGTGTACCATTCTGACACATGAGCAAAAAAAACTGTCTCGTTGATTGATGGGCACAGCCAGCCTCTTCTGCTTGAACATTCCCCTGGGAGGAGAGAGCTTCCGATGCTTACAGTGGCTAATATGGGCAGATGATCAGACGCCATATCTGAGTCTATTGACGAAGTGCAGACGGTGTGGGAGATGTTGACACCCAGACATAAGTAAAGAATACCTCTGTAGATATGCATCAGTTCAAAGTCGCCCACAATCTGTGCATCATCGTGACTACCTAATAGTGACAACAGTTGGTTGCCATTACCATTACTGAACTGTAAATTACCAATATTCCTATGTCTAGCGTTATAATCACCTATAATGATGGTATGCTCAGTCTGAATACAGATAGGAAGGTCAGATAAGGTCACTAGGAGCATACAGGTTAAAGATATTGAGGGCAGATTTCCCCACGTAGATCCTCACACCATGATACTGAAGCCCTTCGGTTGACTTGGCTGGGAGTGGCCGGTGAGGAACGGACTTCTTAACATACAAAATACAAGGGTGACTGGATTTAAGGTTGTAGACAACAAAGGGGGGTAATTTAGGGGATGGAGACCTGGTGGGAACTCTGCACTCACTCCGGAAGGCAGACAACATCAATGGGCTCGGTCATCACTTTGTGGAGATCAGGAAGTCTTTTTCTTGAGTCATGCCATGTTGCAACTGAGGACACAAAGCACCCTTGTATTGAGGGAGTTTGTGGAAGGATCCATAGTTGATATCTAATGTATTAGCCCACAAGAGCTTGTATGTGTTTTTATAATCTATTGTCCCCTTGCTTTGCTTTGTATCACTCCTGGTATCCCTCTTAGTTATGTGATGCAGCTGGCTGCAAGGCAATACAGCTGCAATACACTGTCTCTCGTTTTTTTATCTACAACACTGTTATTGATGAACTCTCTAACATCTGTTTTTAAACTTTTTGGGAACACTGTTTTTAATAGGCTTTCAAGTTCCGTGGGTCCTAGCTGTGATATATCCAACACACTAGCTAAACGAGTGGTGGTAATTTAAATGACCAGGTGTGTGAGCCACGCCCATTACATTGCTCTCAGTCCTGGCTGGTGACTGTGGGTTACTGTCCAGGTCACTGTACTCACTATGTTCTTTGCGATGACGGCAACAGCCATGTTCGTTTGTTGGTAGATGGTGTTATTAGGTGGTGTGCATTTGTTGGGCTGGTGTGCTTACCTGTCAGTGTTTGTGAGGAGTGAGAATTGACTTTCGCGCTGCACCTCTTATCTATTCAAGAGCATCCATACATGCTCTTGAAACTGGATGGAATTTCCAAAGTGTTTTTCACTGCTTTCAACTTACTGCTGCTCACTTATCATACTGTACAATTTCTTACATCCCTGATTTATTGGTATTTCTTACTTTACCTTTCATCTGGAAAAAGACTGTTCTAGTCCATCTCAGTATTTTGTGTTATTGTGATCATGTCTCCTCTGGTCCTTCCTTTTTTTGATAATTACTTCCTCTGGTTCTTTTTTCCTCTTAAGTTTATTGCATTCAATTTCATTTCATCTTCATGGCTCAATTGTCACATTTCTGTCATCAGTTTTGTTGCAAACTTCTGGACTTTATAAATTTTCTTCTTGTGCTCCTTAAGATGAGGATTTCATGTCAGCACTACATATTCTAGAACTGGTCTAACATAGGCTGTGTATATTGTCTTGAAAAGGTTTTGTTTATGCCACTGATGTTATCCTATTTGTGTGTGCTTCTGTTAGTAATCCAAAGTGGTAATGGGGAAAGCAGATGAAAGTGTGTACTGTGGCAACAATAAACTATATTATGAAATAATAAAAGGTTTAGACAGCAAGGTGATAACCATTGAGAACTCACCACACCAAGTTTTACAATTGTGTGAGGTGTTTGTTTTCAGGATTTAATGACTAAGTGGCTTCCAGGAAGCTACACACTCAAATATCAATGAAATCTGTAGTCTCATGATTATTCATAATAAAGAAAAACCATAATTATTTTAAAATATCAGAAATATTAGATGAAGGATGATGATGATTTAAATTCAGGTACTCGGAACAAAAAATTCAAAGCAACACGGGCTATGGTGAGCCCTGTTGTACTTACCTGGCACAGGTGATGTGTGTAGAGGAAGGAAATTGTCATTGTAAATATAAGAATAAGTAATGTTCAAGCATTAATTAATTGAAAGCATGTATTGTAGTGTGAGTATAATTAAAGCATTATGAGTGACATTCCTAATCTCCATTTGTAGATTCTATCATGTTTCAGGATTATAAAATTCATACTTATTGCAGCAAATTGTGTTGGCATCGAGGCTGGAGTCCAAAATGCTGTCCACCCTCGGTACCGGTCCCTGGCCAAGGCTGGTGTAAGGTGAGCAATAACATACACATCAACAAGGATGCAATAATAAATTTTCACCTACATAATGTTAGTGAGAATTAATAAAAGGAGTACTGATGAATTGATAAAGAATATGTTAAACTGTAAGGAACGTAACAATAGGTTATATGACTGATTTAAGACTAAATTAATGTGTACAAAAGAATTGAATCAGACATCATTTGGTCTAAAGAAGATATTTTAATGGAAAACTTAAGATAATACAACATATGACAAGGATATGAAGACAGTATTTGTCCATTCTGATTTAATATACTGTACACTGTATATGGGATTGCTGCTCTCTTATCTCTTCATCTGTTTACTTCTTGATTAAAAAGTACAGTTGTATCCTGATTCTGTATCTCATAATTCTGCCTGACATACAGTAATTCTATATATATAAAACTAATTAAGACCATGTTAAATCCTGTACATTTCATGTTTAGAATTTTCACAGATAATGGACACTGATAATACTTTAAACTTTGTATAAATATATTCATAACAATTACAAATGAGAGGTGCATTACCAATGGAGAATATAAAATGATTCACATGTGAGGTGGAATAGTGGTCTTGGGTGATCATTTACCATTTGTTCATGTCTGGTGCACTTTTCAGTTTGCTTTTACAGTATTTTGCTCTTGCATGTTGTTTAACCCTTAGACCACGCATATTACCGCAAATTTAGGGGCATAACATCTAAAATATTCAAATTATGTGAAAATAACTTTAAAGTGGCCTAGTTCATTGTGTAAACTCAATGCATTTAAAAAGCTTTAGTTTTACAGTATTTAAAGTAGCACTTTTATCCTGTGTAATAAATTAATTTTTTTGAAATTCATCCTTTTCTTTTCATATAACTTTTCAATGGTGTTTCCAAGAATTCATCCTCCTATAAAATCCACTTAAAATGGTCGATAGTGACAAGCTTGTTTCCAATGGTCTCAACATCCACCATATCTCAATTCGTCTAACTAGAATGCTACATATAATCAAGATCCCTACTTTGATTGTAATTAACTCATTTGATGAGGCTTTACCAAAAGACAGAATTCATACAAAGCTTGGAAATAAGTAAGTTCCATCTTGTATCAAGCACAGTCTGATAGGTCACCCACACCTCCACCCGTCGATGTTAAGTAAGGAAATTATGAGGAGAAAGTGCTCAGCGTGTATGACTATATAGCACTTGAAAAGGATACAAGGACAAGGATCTGGGATAGGATGGTGGGAAGGAATGATGCCCAACCACTTGACGGATGGTGGGAAGGAATGATGCCCAACCACTTGATGGATGGTGGGAAGGAATGATGCCCAACCACTTGAACCATCAGGGATCAAGCACCGACCTGCAAGAAGCGAGATCATCGCTGTACTGACCGGTATTGGGAGCCGGTCGGCCGAGCGGACAGCACGCTGGACTTGTGATCCTGTGGTCCTGGGCTCGATCCCAGGCGCCGGCGAGAAACAATGGGCAGAGTTTTTCATCCTATGCCCCTGTTACCTAGCAGGAAAATAGGTACCTGGGTGTTAGTCAGCTGTCACGGGCTGCTTCCTGGGGGTGGAGGCCTGGTCGAGGACCAGGCCGCGGGGACACTAAAAAGCCCCGAAATCATCTCAAGATAACCTCAAGATAACCAGCCCAAGTGGTTGGGTCCACCCTGTATGTGTTAGACTCAATAGAGTCTGTATAAACAAAAGATTTAATTATACTGTATAATAAGTGTACAGTACTTTATACGGGCATTTCTGTATATTATTGCTTAACCATATAACCCTTTTAGATTAGCCAGAAAAAATGTTTAGTTAATTCATTTATACAAATTTCAGAAAGTTATTACACAGGAATACCTTTAGGCAACTACATGAGGACTTATTAAAAGATGATATACAGTATTGCTAATTGTGGTAAATAATTTAGTTAGAACAAATCTTACATTATATTCTTTTTTGAAAATCAAATATAACTTTTGTTGTTACAGGTTGTATTGTAAATGTGCAGATCTATCAAGTATAAATGAAGCACAAAAATTTGCTTTAACTTCTCCATGTAATGCTCCAGCCATGTTTATTCACAGGTCAGTACTGCATAAGCATCCTATAATTTAATTCTAAAAGAAACATTGTTGTACAAGTTGCTTAATTCTTTACATTAATGTGTTTATATTTAATTCCCTAATTTTTTTGAAATTGTTATAGCAGGTAAAGTTATTCACAATTTAATCCAAAGATGGAAGCACAGTGTACATTGGACAGCTTACTATTTATTTGGGAAAATATTGTGAGGGGTTACTGGGGGTGTTTGGCTCTTCTCTTGGTCATTCTTGCTTCCGGCAATAACCTGCTGTTGCATGCAAAAGCACCAACACCAGTGGGGGTCACACTGAAAGAGGTCACTTTGCAAAAAGTCACAACAAACAAACCCCTGAGGTGCAAAAAAAATCCAGGGTCCCTGTATCTCAGGTGACAGAAGAAAGCCAAGACAGCCCACGACTGCCACAAGCAATACAGGAACCCCCCGTCCCCGACACTTGGCTCGCTCGTCCTTCAATTCCTTGCAAGTGATATAGAAGATAACGGATGGGTCCTCACACCGAAATTTGTATTCAGTGATTGAAGCTCTGGGCTTGATCCCCGAGTTAACCCAAATAATGACAAGTAACAAAATGAGCATGAACATGGGGACAGTATTTCAGAATGAGGAATGACAGAGGTATGTGTACTAGCAAAAATTAATTTATTTAACAACTTACAATGGCATACACAGTGGCATACAATTACATTACATTAATTAAAATGAACTTGGAGAGTTGATTTTTCAACTTCCTTCTCAAATGATGAAAAATGTAAGGAAAATAGAAAAGATCCATGCTAGAATTATTGATTTCATTCTTTGTCATTGTTCGGTCAAAGAAATTGTTCACGACTTTTGTTAGACCAACGCTGGAATAGGCAGCGGTTGTATGGTGCCCACATCTTAAGAAGCACATTAACAAACTGGAAAAGGTGCAAAGACATGCAACTAAATGCCACCTAGAACTGAAGAACAAGAGCTATGAGGAGAGATTAGAGGCATTAAATGTGCTAAAATTAGAAGATAGAAGAAAAAGAGGTGATATGATCACTATGTTCAAAATAGTAACAGGAATCAATAAATTTGATAGGGAAGAATTCCTGAGATCTGAAACTTCAAGAACAAGAGGTCATAGATTTAAATTAACTAAACAAAGCTGCCAAAGAAATATAAGAAAATTCACTTTCGCAAATAGATTGGTAGACGGTTGGAACAAGTTAGGTGAGAAGGTGGAGGAGGCCAAAACTGTCAGTAGTTTCAAAGCGTTATATGACAGAGTGCTGGGAAGACGGAACTTCACGAGCGTGGCTCTCATCCTGTAACTACAGTACACTTAGATAATTACACACTTTAGAAATATTTAGAAAATATATTTTGTGTTTATAAAACCAACGTTGAATGGAGTGAAATGCCATTTTCTAGGTAGTGCCTGGAGGCTTCCTGGAGCTATCGGACTGATATTAGCTATATTAGTCTGGGGCTTCAGTCTTACGGAGTTCGAGCCTACCGGGGACCATGAGCCAGAACCTGGTCCCCTCGGAGGAGTAATGGCCTATGAAACACCCTTGTATGAGACTATATTCATGTCTGCTATTGACCAGGGTTAGACACCCAGAAAGGTAAGCATAACAAAATAGACTTCCTCCTGGTAGAAAAATTGCAACCGGAGACAGAACAAAGGCTAGGAACTCTTCCCAAGGAAGACAAGATAACAAGCAACACGTCATCACACAGCGCATCGATCATTTGGGCCGACACAAAATGAACATGAAATCCAGACATGAATTTTGCTCCGCCCCACCAAGCCGGCCGCCGGACCGCTAGTTCAGAGACTGACAAACAAAATCAAAACCGCCAACCGGAGGGAGGGAGGGAGGGTGCCAAGGAGCCTCCGGGGGCTCTACCCAAAAAATGGCATTTCATTACATTCAACACTGGTTTTCTGTGGGAAGCCCTGACAACTCCCAGGAGCTGGCTACCCAAAGAGCAGGAAAAAGAGGGACTTGCCCGTAAAGCAGCCACACCGCATAACTCATGGCGAAGATGAAGCAACTGGCTGCAACCTCCGATCCAAGGCAACACAAGACCGCTGAGATCCCAGCACATTAACTAGATATAGGGCAGCCAGGACCCTGTTCGACCTCCAAAACCCCCGCGCCCGAATGTCAGCCCAAGACATGTTCCCAAACACAGCAGCAAAAACTGTGAAATTCCGAACATCATGGGTGCGAGGTTAGACCGCAGGCTGGTCTAGAATTAATAAGCCTGCGGACAACCTAAGGTCCACCCGCAGCGCCTTCCCGGACACAGAAGCCAAGGAGCGCAGATAACGACATAAAGCCGCAACCGTTCACAACACATGATGCATTCCCGGCCTGATCAACCAAGCATCAATAACCCATGGACTCCTCCAGAAGCCTGGCGTCTCATTTTTTGCCAGAAAAGAAGGTGACGGTTGCAAACGAACGAAACATCCATCCAGACCAAAAGAGTGAAAGCCTTTGCACCGGAGGAGAGCATCAAACTCCCCAACCCGACACCCAGAAGCTAAAACTAACAAAAATAAAGCCTTCTGAAACCAGTCATGAACAGAAGGGGCCACCACAAACCTAGGAGAAGAGAGAGAGAACACTGGCTCAGGCGGCATATGAGCAGGCCAGAGGTGGAAAACGCATGAGAAAGCTTACAAAATGGAGCAGAAGTGACATCCACCCTGAACGCAAGCTGAAGCAGCTCCGCCAGAGCAACACGATACAAGGCGACAGCATTTGACATAAGATGCCTGTCTTGAAAAAACCAAGAAAGAAAAGTCAGCACAACACGATCCAAAACCGAAGACAACCTAAGCAGGGAAATGAAGTGTCGAAAAGACTACCAAAAGACTTCATACTGTTGCCAAGAAGGCTGCAGGTGGGACACCATCAAAGAAGCCACATGGTCACCATACAGATGGTGATACACCTGCATCAGGAACTCCAGATTCCAAGTGCAGAAGAGAAGAGCGGACCAGCAAGTACCTCACCAGCTTGATCTGCCGGATTGTAGGGCCTCGAGGAAGCCGAATCCGACGCAACGCAAGCTACACCTTCTCAAACTCCTGTTCCGCGCTGTGAGCCTGACGGAAGAACGAAGCCCACCGCTCCTGGACGATTTGGTGAGCACTTGTCACAAAACCCCAGCCAAGAGTGGAGGCGTCCATGAACACACAGAGGCAGGGCTCCAGAAGGCGCCAAGGAACTGAACCCCTGAAAAGCCTGAAGAGGAAGCTGGAGACCTAGCAACCAACGCAAGACCCCTGGGGGACGAACCCAGTGACTGTGAGAGCGGCGGAAGGGACAGCCCTGAAGGAACCAGAACAGATGCCGCAACCAAACCTGACACAGCTGGTAAATGATCACAGCGAAGTTCACACTTTCACACAGCTGCTAGAGCCCCTAAGTGACCCAGGACCCCCTCAGAAACAGCTGATGGCGTGACCACAGGCGAAGCAACACCACCTGAGGGAGAGACGAGGACGCTGTTCGGGAATCCCAGACAAAGCCCAGCCATGTCCGAACCTGAGACGGAACCAGATGGGGCTTCCTCCAGTTCACCAACTCACCGAACCTGGTGAGCTGGGAAAGAACCAAACCCCTGGCGAGCAGTGATTCGGACTGGCTGGGAACCCACACCAACCAGTCGTCGAGGTAGGCCAACACCCGAACACCTGGCAGACGCAGATGGGCCACCACATCCCGACTAAAACTCGTGAAAATGCGAGGTGCCAGATTCATCCCGAAAGGAAGGCAACAAAAGTGGTAAGCCTGTTGCCCCACCACAAAACCTAACCAGTCCCTGAACCCTGGATGAATGGGAACATGCCAGTATGCATTCCAGAAGTCCAGAGACACCAGCCACGAACCCGGCTCCAAGAGAAGCTGGACCTGAGACAGAGTGGTCATCCGAAAGGAGGGACAAGGAATCCAGGGGTTCAGACGGGACAGTTCCAGAATGAACCGCAGATCCGTACAGACCCATTTTGGCACTGGAAACAAGCAGGAAACCCACTTGAGGGACGAGGTTGTTTCGGCCACGCCCAAGCGCACCCACACCTAGATGACCTGACAAAGTGAAGGGGAAGAAGCCTATCCAACCAGCCCCAAACCTCCCGGAGGAGGAGCCGCCCAATGCCACCTCAGGCCGGAAGACACAACCTAAAACGGCCACGAATTATGGGGCCAAGAGTGGGCAAACAGAGCCAGCTTTCCCCCCCCCCCCCCAGTGCCTTGCCAATGGGGCAAACCCGTGTAAGAGTATGGGTTTTCCTTCCAAGAAACCGACATGTGCACAGAGCGTGCACCGTGCCGACCAGAAGAAAATGGTTCCTGAGCAGACACCGGCTCAAACTGGCACCAAGGGCCTACCTCGACTAGCAGATACCCGAGCCCTGGCACGACACTGTGCACCCTGGATAACCAACAAATCCGAAAGAGGAACGCAACTAGCAGAAGCCGTCTGCAAAAACTAAGTGACGACAGTCCGCAAACAACTGCTGATAAAAATGGGGATGAAGATCTAAAAGCCAGGGCCCAAGCAGAATTCAGAGAGAGCGAAGAAGGCCTGCCGACACGTGAGGCGAGAAGAATAAAACAAGTCAACAAGGAGACACTGCCTCCCGGAGGATAGGCACATACAGTTTAAGCAACGCCGCCGATGCCTTTGCTGCCAAGGTCAACGCAGCAGAAGATGACTTGTCACTCAACGCTTCCACATCCTCCACAAGCCAGTCCGAAGACAGCTCGAAGGGAAAAGAAGCAAAGGACTGAGGCCAAATGCAGCGAGCACAAAGATCCTCTGCTACCAAAGTAGCCTAAAGAGAAGGGACCTGGACGTGCAACTGGAGCAAACCAACCTCACGAGGAAGCACAGAGGCATACAAGCACGCATTAAAGTACTCAAAAGCATCTAAGTAATCCTGCAATACCATAGTGAGCTCTCGCCACTGAAGCGTGCAGGTATGACAGAACGTGTTCCATGCATCCAACGAAAAGAAAGGGCAGTCTGCAAGCCAGGAAGATGCTGGAACCTCGTAATGCGCCCAATATGGGGAATAAGACCCGAACTCAAAAGAGACCGGGATCCATCACCGAGGCAAAATTTGGGTCTCGCAGGAGGTAGGCAACGAGGGCGTCCCGAACCTCCGCAGGGTAAATCCAAGAGGTAGAAAACCTCCAGAAGGATGAATCCGCAGAACCCAGGGAAACCTGGAAACGAACCTGGGGGAGGGGGGGGTGGAGAAGCCAAACCCATATCAAATTCGTACAATGAAGGGGGATATGAAGACCCCCAAACTTTGCAACAGCAGACCCTGCTCTGAAGGCACCAAAACCCTGGCAGGATCGAAAGGGGCCCAAGGCCGATTTCCCCCCCCCCCCCTCCAAACCAGGTTCTGGGGCAGAGCCATCCTTAACGCCCTTCACCCTTGAAGAAAAGGCAGAGTCCAAGGAAAAGGCATCAAAGAAGGCGGACCCGCTGGAAGGACCCAGAAGTCTCGGCGGGAGGAACAGGCTCAAAGGCCTCCGTCCCCCGCATCGAATGGGGCATTCCCCAGAGCCACCCGAGTCTCATCCCCAGCTAAAATCTGCCTCGACTCCGAAACCCTCAGACGTTTGGGAGCCAGTAGCAGGGGGAGGGGGAGGGTGAAGCACACAAACAAGGGGAGAACGAAGGGGCGCAGACTGAACCAAGGTGGAAACGACCAACGCCCCCAAGTTCGGGTCCCTAAAACCAAAGCGGGGCAGCCCCGGGTAAATTCGAGTGGCAACCAACCTAGCGCATTGCAGCAACCTAAACCTAGCATGCAACATGTACACTGCTTGACCTCAGCTAAATTTGAGTGGGTAAATTGTAGAACAAGCGAAGAACAAGTCTCGCAAGACTCTGGGTCGAAGGTTTTGTCGACCCAACAAGCAGCATGACAAAGGCAAAGCAGGTGATAGTCACCCTGAGACAAGGGTAACGAACAACCTTCAAACTCGCACAAGGCGAGATGGGACTCGGAGGACACGTCCATTGGTCAACCAAGCCCCGTCAGCACTGTGGAGAAATGCCTGACAGACCAGTTGAACATTACCTAACACAGTGCAGAGTTACAAACCCAATAAGATTTCAACTTAGATTCAACAGAGCAGAAGAAGTTGTTAAACATATGGGGCAAAATCTTACTGAAGTGACCTTACAAGTCATAAATACTCATAATACTCTGCTTAAGTAAAACGGAAACAAGCAACACTTAGTGGGCCAGCCAAGGGCTTAGGGTCCACACAGGAATATCCCTGCAAAAAAAAAAAAAAAAAAAAAAAAAAAAAGTCCCGGCGGGGGTTTCCAAGGCCTGCAGGGATTTCCATAGGCGTCCCTATGGAAAGCCCAGGCACTGGTACTGCCAAAGCCGGTTGTAACCCCGTGTATTGAATGGGCAGACTGGCCCCTGAGAAGTGAGCACCCTCAGGGGCCGAGAGGACAACAGCCCCACGGAACCTAGCAGTACCTAATAGGCAGCCAGGCAGCCCTCCACCAGGCAAGAAAGGAAAAGAACCCAGAGGAAGATCTGCAACACCAAGAGGCCAGAAAGCGGCACAGCCGCTGCTGTTATGCGAGCTAGGCAGCCCAGTGCGCCCCAACCAACAACCACCACTCCCTACCCAGGGCAAAACGAAAGCACCGAGACCTAAGTTGACCCCAAGGGCGAGGCAGAAGCCCAGCGACTGCTACCTCTACGGAAGTGGGGAACCCGAAAACCTCAGGGAACGTAACCCTGAGACCCAAGGGGTGTACTTTCAGGGTGCTTAGGGAAGAGAGCCCTAAACGCATGCAGCCCTGGGTACTTGACTCCTGAGCACTGCACCAACACACAGCAGGTACCACCGCTCCGGTGAAAATCATGACAGGTAATTGCAACCAGAATAGACAACCGCCCTGAGAACACAGCTTAAAAGTTAAAGTTAGAAAAGTTAGAAGCGCAGTTAAAAGATCTGTACCTCAGGGTACAGTCCTTGCACCGCTGCTTTTCCTTATTCTCATATCAGATATAGACAAAAATACAAGTCACAGTTTCGTATCATCCTTTGCAGATGACACAAAAATCATTATAAAAATTACCTCGGCTGAAGACACTGAAGAACTTCAAGCTGATATTAATAAAGTTTTCGACTGGGCATCAGAAAATAACATGATGTTTAACAGTGATAAATTCCAGGTACTCAGGTATGGTAAAAATGAGGACCTTAAACATAATACAGGGTACAAAACACAATCAAATGTGCCCATAGTAGGAAAACAGCATGTAAAGGATTTGGGAATAATGATGTCTGACGACCTAACGTTTAGGGAGCATAACCAAGCAAATATTGCGTCAGCCAGAAAAATGATCGGATGGATTACGAGAACTTTCAAATCCAGGGATCCCATCACAATGGTTGTACTCTTTCACGTCACTTGTGTTGTCCCATCTTGAGTACTTCTCAGTACTCACTTCCCCCTTCAGAGCAGGGGAGATTGCTGAAATAGAGGTAATACAGAGAACATATACTGTATAGGCACGCATAGATACGATAAAGCATCTAAATTATTGGGATCGTCTCAAAGCCCTCCAAATGTACTCACTAGAAAGAAGGCGAGAGAGATATCAAATAATATACACGTGGAAGACACTAAAGGGCCAAGTACCAAATCTACACAGTAAAATAACAACGTACTGGAGTGAACAATATGGAAGAAAATGCAGAATAGAACCAGTGAAAAGCAGGGGTGCCATAGGCACAATCAGAGAATACTGTATAAACTTCAGAGGTCCACAGTTGTTCAACACCCTCCAAGCTAGCATAAGAAATATTGCCGGAACAACCGTGGACATCTTCAAAAGGAAACTAGATTGTTTCCTCCAAGGAGTGCCAGACCAACCAGGCTGCGGTGGGTATGTGGGCCTGCAGGCCGCTCCAAGCGACAGTTTAGTGGACCAAACTCTCACAAGTCAAGCCTGGCCTCGGGCCGGGCTTGGGGAGTAGAAGAACTCCCAGAACCCCATCAACCAGGTATCAACTGCCCCAGCCAGCTTCAGTTGACAAACTTGCGGTCTGGCGGCCGGCTCAGTGGGGCCGGGCCCCCCTCCCCCCCTCCCTGTTGTCTTGTTTTTCTTGGAGGAGTTTGTAGCCTCTGTTCAGTCTCCGGTTACAATTTTTGTACCAGGAGGGGTCTGAGAACGAGACCTAGGGGTGGTTTTGGATAGTAAGCTGTTGCCAGAGTAACACAAAGAACATTCAGAGAGGAGCGTATGAGTCGCTTTCAAACTTCAGCCTTGCTTTTAATTATATGGATGGTGTAATACTAAAGAAACTGTTCATGAATTTTGTGAGACCAAAATTGGAATATGAAGCAGTTGTATGGTGCCCAAATCTCAAGAAGCACAAAGAAACTGGAAAAGGTGCAAAGGCATGCTACAAAATGGCTTCCGGAACTGAAAAACAAGAGATACGAGGAGAGACTAAAGGCGTTAAACATGCCAAAACTAGAAGATGGAAGAAAAAGAGGAGATATGATTACCATGTACAAAATACTAACAGGTATCAACCAAATTGACAAAGAGGAATTCCTGAAACCAGCAACTTCCGAACAAGGGGACACAGATTCAAGCTAAGGAAACAAAGGTGCAGAAAAAATATTTGAAAGTTTTCTATTGCAGAGTGGTAGACAGTTGGAACCAGCTAAATGAGGCAGTGGAGGCCAAAACCATCAGTAGTTTCAAAACGTTATACAACAAAGGGAACTGGGAAGACGGGACATCACAAGCATCGCTCTCATTTTGTAACTACATTTAGGTAATTACACTTGGGTACACATACAGTGTATACTATATGTATGTATGTATGTATGTATGTGTATGTATGTATAATACAAGTATGCTATGCAGTATATGTATTATGCATTAATCCTCTTTGTATATTTAGATAATAAATTTCTGAATACATATATTTTACAGTATGGCAGACCAAGTTTCTTTATTCCCGGATTTGGAACCAGTCATAAGTGCTCAAGAGAAAGTTTCTCCAGTGACTACATACATGATTCCTAAGGAACTACAAGTGCCACATGTTACTATTATGCGGTTCCTTGGAGAACATAAGTACATGAGTTTAATCGACAATTTTGTAGGTAAGGCTATTGTTAAGATTTATTTATTTATTTTATTTATATATTAATATATATACAAGAAGGTACATTGGGATTGTGAGGATACATAGCATAGTAATTACATTCTTGTAAAGCCACTAGTACGCGCAGCGTTTCAGGCAGAACTGAAGATAGTAACTGCAGTAAGATAAGGACGATCATGTACCTGCCACCTTGCTTTGAATGGTATAAAATAGCTTAGTTATAAATATTAAAAATAGGTTTCTAAGTCATTGTTCCTAATTTAGATGTTAACTACTCTTATCTGTGAATGATACCTTGGTCCCTCTGTTAACTCCCCATTCTTGATGATGTGACCATTTGTAAAATCCTTTCCATAAATCTAGAATGCCTTCTAGGTGTTGTGACCTCATGAACACATACTTGAAGCATTTGTCAGAGAATTGTGTGTTAGTGAAACTGTCTTTATAACATGGAAGCAGTCACCAGCAACAAATAAAAGTGTGAAAAATGTCTTGAGAATGAATGTACAGTATACAGTTTCCAATTGTTGGCCCTGGGGACTAAGTTGTAATATCACTAAGACTGTACATACAAGTGAGAAAGTAGAAAGTAAATGGAAAAATAAAGGGTTAATGAACAGCATTGATGATGATAGTTGTTTCACTAACCCCTGAGTATCTGCTTACTGCTGAGTGAACAGAGTCATTAGGTGAAAGGCAATGTGTCCAACCATTTCTGTCCCACCCGGGATTCGAACCTGGATTTTTTTACTTTATACTGTATATTATACAAGTTTCTGGGGGAAAGCCTTCGGGTCCCCGGAGCTATCCAGGCTGATATGTATGTCATTAGACTTTGGCATCAGTGTGAATGAAGTTCTAGGTCTACAGGGGACCATGGCCAGAACTTGGCCCCCTCAGAGAGGCACGAGGAGCAATGGCCTATAGAAATGCACATGGGATTTGGAGCATTCTATATCTACCATTGATCGGGACAGGCACCCAGAAAGGTAAGCGCCTCAAAACAAACCCCTATTCTGGTTAAAACGACTAAAATAGACAAACTAGTGAACAGAACTCTCCAAATAAAAACGAGCAAGCGAGCATGATGTCACACGAGCCACGCCACATGTCTGTGCAGCTCCCCCCTCCCTGGGAGGAGGAAGTGGGGGGGGGGAACCAGACCCCAAGCTGGTGATCCACCCTTCAGTTCTTCTTCTGTTGTGATTGTGGCATGATTGTGTGGCTAAAGCTCCAGACTGTATTGTGCTGTACCTTAGGTCCAGTACTGCTCTTACTGTGGCATGCGAGCTGGGAGTAATATTCTCAGGTACTCAGGCTGCATGTGCTTGAGGTCACCTTCCCTGAGTGCCCTGTAAGTACCACCCTTGGGGCTCGGGGTTATCTTCCACAAGTCACCTTGGAGTCTACCTTTGTTGGTCTTTTGCTGATTGGCGATTGACCGCCCCAAGTGTGTTGGGAGTTTCCTCTCTTGTTTGTCTTGGGATAAGTGGTAGTTTTTGCCCTGGTAGGGGCACAGGGTCCTGCGTAGCTAGTTTTCACCTATAACAGCTGCCGGCTCTGTTCCTCCTGGGTGCTTTGTCCTCTTACGGAGTTTTTCTTTTTCTTTTTGCTTGGTGGGGGGGGGGGGGTCTGCCTTGGTGTCCCTTTCCCCAGTTATAGTAGGGTTAACTTTCTGTTTCGGTGGTACCCCCTGCTTCGTCCCCATGAGTGGACACGCCCCAGGGGTTCAGCTTTTCAAGTTTGTTTGGTAGCATTGGGTGCTGGTTAGCAGTACCCTGCCTGGGCTTTCCCTTAGAGATACCAATCTAGGGGCCCTGGGAAACCCTGTTGGGGCACACAGTGAACATGCTCATAGCTTTTGCCTCCATCATGCTGCCTATTGGGTCGGTGACACATTCGACCCGGAGTCCTGCGAGCATTGTTGCTTGTTTGTGACTTAATTCACCCAATCCACCGATGACATTATTCGGGTGCAGGCTAGGTTTAGGTTGCTGTAATGTGCTAAGTTGGTTGCTTTCCCGGTTGCCTCGAGGCTGCCCCACTTTGCTTATAGGGTCCTGGACTTGGGGGTGTTAGTCGCGTTGGCCTTGGTTCAGTCCGCATCCACTCGTTCTTCCCCTGCTGTGGTTCCTTTGGTCCCCCCCCCCCCTGCTTCCGGTTCCTAAGTGTCTGAGGGATCTGGGGTCGGGGCAGGGGTTTAAAGGTTTGAGACTCGGAGGGGGGGTTCAGGGGTTGCCCATTCCGGGGTGGCGATGGAGGCATTCTAGTTGGTTCCTCCAGCCGTAGCACCAGCGTCTGACCAGTGAGCCCCCTCTCTTCCTGCTTTTCCGGTCGTCACGGCTTTTTCTTGTGGGGCCGGGGCTTTGGAGGATGACTTGCCCCCGGCAAGTCATCCTCCAAAGTCATAAAATGGCAAAATACTAAAGAAATTGTTCACGACTTTTGTTAGGCCAAAGCTAGAATATGCAGCGGTTGTGTGGTGCCCATATCTTAAGAAGCACATCAACAAACTGGAAAAGGTGCAAAGACATGCTACTAAGTGGCTCCCAGAACTGAAGGGCTACGAGGAGAGGATAGAGGCATTAAATATGCCAAAACTAGAAGGCAGAAGAAAAAGAGGTGATATGATCACTACATACAAAATAGTAACAGGAATTGATAAAATCGACAGGGAAGATTTCCTGAGACCTGGAACTTCAAAAACAAAAGGTCATAGGTTTAAACTTATTAAACAAAGATGCTGAAGAAATACGGTATAAGAAAATTCACTGTCGCAAACAGAGTGGTAGACGGTTGGAACAAGTTAAGTGAGAAGGTGGTGGAGGTCAAAACCATCATTATTTTCAAAGCGTTATATGACAAAGAGTGCTGGGTAGACGGGACACCACGAGCGTAGCTCTCATCCTGTAACTACACTAAGGTAATTATACACACACACACAAGAAGGTACATTGGGTTTATGAGAGTACATAGCATTGATGTTTTTACATTCTTGTAAAGCCACTAGCATGCATAGCATTTTGGGCAGGTCCTTACTCTAACAGTTAATTTTAAGTAGGTAATTTCTAGCAAAATTTAAAAAATGTTAACAGGTACATTGTAAGAAAAATTTGACAAAGATTAATAGACATTAAAGTAAAATATGAGTGTTATAAACAGGTACATTGTAGCATAAATTGAGGATTATTTCAAGGTATAATGCAATAAAATGTGTTTAAAATAACAACCATGATACAAGATGATAGCAATGATTACAATAGTAAAGTTGTATGGCATAGATACATATATTGGTGGATTGGGTAGCACAATATACAGTGCGAGTTAAAAGCACTAGGTAGGAAACTATGAAGATGAAATAGGTACTTTTTGGTTTTATTTTTGAATAAGGCAAAAGTTGGACAGCTTTTCAATTCATTAGAGAGTGTTCCATGGACTAGGTCCCTTTATTTGCATAGTGTGTTTACACTGGCATGCATAGCATTTCAGGCAAGTCCTTAATCCTGATTTTTCCCCGGAATATGACCCACCAAATCGTTTAACAACCAGGCACCCATTCACTACTGGGTGAGCAGAGGCTATAGTTAAGGATTGGTGCCCAATAAGTCATCCTCGGCAAGGAATTCTCGATTGTGTGTCGAGAACAAACACGACTGTGCTACTGGGACCCCTTAAAACATTTCAGGCTTTTAAAGCATATTTCTAGGAACGTGGATTGAAGTAGCTTATCATATACAAGGGGAGTATTTTCTGACATTTATCAATGTGGCTTATTGCATTGAAAATGTTAAGATGTTAAGATGTTGAGCTAGGTAGTAAGAAATATCATGGATGATATTTTTTCAGTAACTATATGTACAAGTCAGGGAGGAGTATATAATAAAAAAAATCATTATTGTTTATTTCTTTAGTTCTAAATATTAGGTTTATGACATTGTTTGATATATATAAATATATAATGAAGAATTTTGTTATATTGCAGATAAATACAGAGGATTTGTTTCTTCAGGAAGTCAAAAAGATGCAGCATCTGTTCCTTCTGACATTGCTTTGGAATCAGAGAAAGTTATACTTGCTTTGTAGACAAGCATATACATAAATATATATATATATATATAAATGTGCAGTGCACTAAGGTGACAAGCAAAACCTTTACCCAGTAATTGGCTGCTAACCATTTTTGACTACCAAGCAGTGTTTGAAACACCTGGTAAAAAAAAGATGACATGTTTGATTTGCTCTAATATTAGAAAGAGTATAATTAATATTTGTTTATTCATAAATTTAATGCCACTGCAAATAAACTGATGCAATATGGGGGCCAATATATTTAGGTATGTCTTGTTATTAATTAGCACAAGGATATTTTTTCTTCACATTGATTGCAAGCTTAGCTATGCCATAGTAGTTAATCCTGAGAGGTTTATACAATGTATTTATGAAATCAAATGTGTAATCATTGGGAGATACTGTATGATTGTTATATTTTACTGACCTGTTTTAGTTTAAAAATCTTTTCCTATTTCCTTCAAACATGATGCCAGTATACAAGTGCAGGATTTAAGGCTATACACAATTTTTGGGTTATAGTGCCCTGCGCATAACCATTTTTTAATTATCTTTAAAGTTTTTAAGTGATCCAGTGTTTCTTTCAGTCTTAACAGTCGGTAAACTACTTTGCTTGACATTCAGAACATATGCTACTGTCATGGTTGACGGAATGATAGTGCATCCTTAATATTCTCCAAGTTAAGGGATTTAAACTTAACTCCATATTCATTTTTAATATGACCCCAAAAAACTGACTTTAGGCATATTATGTGGTGGGATGCGGGATTGAAAGGTTGCTGTTGTATGAAATAATTTTGAGAGCTATTTTATGTGTTGTATTAAAGGGGGTCACAGCATTCAAATGATTTTTGACAACTGTCGTATGATGTGCATCAAATTTAAAATGTGTGTGCTGTATCATTTTGGAGTGAGATTGCTCATTTTTTTTTTTTTTTAAGCCTACACTAATACCTGTACAGTATCTCCTAACAAAGACTGTCTTTTACTTGGCAAATTAAAACCCATTGTATCAACATTATGTGAGCTATAATATTTTATAGCAGTATTGCCTCCAGGTAGTTATTTTGAAAGTTATTGCATTCTTTTCTCAAGAAATCTTGCATCCAGACACTGCTATAATGCAACCCACTCTCCTGTTTAGATAGTACGTTTTGTAACTTAGTAGAATTTGGTACTATTCACTTTATAGTCCACAATAATGTAGCTAAAAACCAAACTTAAGTATTCTTAGGTCTAGTATAGCACATATATGTACAGTACTATATTAGGCCTCAGATAGTGTGTATTAGGCCTAGGATGGTAAGGTTAGGTTTTGTTGTCAACAAATACAAAACCTTTTCCAGTTTGTCCCAAATTCAATAATACCAAATTCTACTTTCTAATTGTCCATTACACCAATACATGTTCAATAGTCCACATTGTTACTCCTGTGAGATGGGAATATTGGATGAACTTATAGCCAGTCGTTTAGTCAGAGCTGGTTTGTTTATGTATTAAGGCAGGTATTATCTCCCTCTAATTCCATGTATGACTAACCATCCTGTGAGATGGGAATAATAGTTAAACCTATAGCTAGTTCTTGATCTACACTGTGTAATATCTCATATAGAATAGGGTAGCAGCACATTACTGTGTATACCTAAGTTTGCTAAGTACTAAGTAAAAAGAACTTAAGTACGATCTAAACAGGAGGATGGGCTGTATAATGTATTATTATAAAACTGTATAAAATTTGCAGCATACATGCCTTGGCATTAAGCATCTTTCTCAACCTTGTGATATTTGGATTTCCATAATTTGTGTTTTGCATACACACAGTATTTTGTGATTATTTAAAATATTCTATATCTTGCACTTTTTTTTACATAAACAGTTCCCATGTGCATTATGAAATAGGTCACAGTGCTTAGAATTTGAAATACCTTATTAAGGGTTAGTCTTTCTAGGCAACTTTATTTAATTAAATAATTTGAACTTAAAACAGAATCTCATTTAAATTTGAAGTAAAAAATAAATAGTTGTGGTTATTTTTTTAAGTTTATAAATACGGTAATTTTATTTTCATTAATTTGTTGCTGTGTCTTGTATTATAATGCAATTTTAACATCATTTTTGAGACAACATAAAACAAGAGTAGTCTTTACTTTAATATTGGTGTTATTTAGTGTTGCATTTTCCAGTCTCTATCACATGTTTTTCTGTGTATTGCTTTCATTAGTTTAGAGATTACCATGTATACAGGATGAGCCAAAGGTTCATGTACACCTACCACAGCTATAAAATGCTATTCTGAGAATCCTCTCACATAAATAGAAATTACATTTTTCATTCTTTGGTTTCAACAAATTTGGTAAATGGCACTTGTGTGCTTGTACACACACTTCAACATGTCTCGTTTACAAGATGTGTAAATTTAATTGGAAAGATGTTCCTGCTAATATTTGTGATGGCTTACTTCAGTTCATGATGGTAAAGTGGATTAGCTTTGTAAACAGCACCTCTTGTTGCTTCCCATAGATAAAAATCTGGGAGTGCAAAATTTGGTAACCTTAATATGTATACAGTTCTTAATAAGTATGGGGCCAATTATCTGATGTAACATGGCAAACCACACATCAAACTAATTTCATTTGAATTAGTTGCCTATCAAATGTGTGTTTTGGCTATCGACATTATAAGTTAAATGAAATTGTCATTATGTAAAAAATGTGACTGTGTATCCTCAAAACTGCCAATACAGTAATAAAGTGTGATCTATTATAAATAATATACATAGGCAAAATACCTTTCTTGCAACCTTGTCATTGTTGTTTTCTTGTATGAATGAAGATGTAAATACAGTACTACCAAAGTGCTGTTCATGCACTACTATTCAAAACACCTGTGTTGTGACATTTTAAAAAAAGGACTTTTGTAGGTCTTGCAATATGTACGTTTTTCTTAGTTAAACAGCCTTCACCCTAATGGCTAGCCGAATCTCAGTATATCTGTAACTGCAGTAATCCAGTTTCACAAAACTTGACAAGTTACTACTATACTTTTTTGTAGTGTTGCATAACAGAGTGGAAACTTTTCTGCAGACCAAAAACAAGAGTTACGAGGAGAGACTGGAGGCGTTCAGAAAGGTTCACCATAAATGCTAAAAAGTTTGCGTCAACTATTTTTGGTATTTGTTGTAATGTTGTTGATAATGAGGTGGCTTCATTATTGATAGACTTAGGTGCATATGGATGTTAAGCTCCTGTCATTTTATAGATTTGTATAAAATATTAGTTGTCTATTTTTTGGCCTCTGTGAATTCGACTTATTACGTATGTTCTTCATCAGAATTGTTTATTGATCTAAAACGAGACAGAACATATCACCATAACTGTCCTTTTGAAATTGTTATGGGTCTTCATGCTAAATTTTAATAGGTCATAATGATGTTAAATTCATGGCTTTCAAAACTAATAAAACATATAATGTAAAGTTACTCGTGGAGAAAAAAAATAATATTGTGATACGGAGGGTGATAAATTTAATCTGAAACAAGGATAAATTTAATATGTATATGCACAATTACACGGCAATCTCTGATACGGACATAGTTTTTATTAATCTCTTGTTTTTAAATACAAAATATTTATTCTAGAAATATATGGCTATGTCTACTTTTTAAAGTAAAAGAATTAATATTTAATATTTATACACATGCTTAAATATTTGGTATTGACTTATTTCACTACATATCATATTTGTTAAACATTATTTTTACGGAAGTAAATATAGGCTAATTATGTCAAATTTGTGTTAAATAGTAGAGCTGTGTATTTACAGAATATTGGAAGTCCTTGCATTTTTGTTTTTTAGCCTATTTTTTTCATTGTAAATCCGTGGAAAGACATGCACATGAAGTAATTTATCTAGTGGACTTGTATGTTATTACATATATATCCAGTACATAATAAAATTATCTGAATTATATACAGTATTTTTATTTTTTGATATTCCTATTTTTTGACAGTGGTAATTGATAAAATCTAAATGTTTAATGATTTTCTTGTCTAGCTCTGTCAACTAATTTTCAGCCACAATTTTCCCCTCGATTCACATTGGCATAACAGAAACAGTGTTTGAAATTAATAACAACATTTACTTATAAAATTCTACACATTCAAAACAATAACATTCTCATGCTAGCCTTGTCCAATATAAAAATTAAACAGCAATTCTCGGTCCTCATCAACTTTGCTTTATTCAACCTAATCAGAGTTATGATATTACGTTAACACATTAATTTGTCTCCCAAGGAATTGAAAACGTCATAATCAATTAACTCTACCACATAATATTCAATATTAAATAATCATTCAACAGCACTAGGCTACCCTTCATTGAGTAGGTTATCCTTTGATATCACTCCACAGTGTAATGTACACACACATATACATTACTGTACTTTAAATGCTTCCTAACATATGTATTGTGTAAAAAAAAAATCATATAATAATAATATAATAATTTTTGTTCAGGTAAATGTACATACAACAAAATCAGTTACAAACAGAATGTTGGATTTCTAGGTAGAGCTTGTATGTATTATGCCTAAAGCCACTAGAATGCACAGCATTTTAGGCAAAAATATTAATATCCTAATTATTCCCTAAATGAATCTCTAATCTACAAGGGAAATTGGGAGGGAAACTTATTTAACTAGAAAGAGCTGATCCTCAAACAGAAGCAGAACTTTGCCCAGGTCGCTGGGCTCAGCTCTTGCTACTGCTGCCTCTATGACGTTACTCCTTCACTAGCTGATCTATGATGTCTGACGTGCTTCTTGGGCTCCTCTTCTCCCTCACAATGACCTAGATGTAGTTCACTCACTATGGCTTCTCTCCACTGAAGTCTTCGGTCAATTGAGCTTCTTCAAGAGTAATAAGGGTCGTGTCCTCAGGGTCTCCAAGGCCTCCATTAGCATTTTTTTATTTATTTATTTATTTATACAAGAGTTCTTACATTACTGTACAGTCACTAGCACGAATAGCATTTCGGGCAAGTCCTTAATTCTAATTTTCACATACATCCCCAGGAAGCAGCCCATAGCAGCTGTTTAATCCCCAGCTACCTATTTGCTGCTAGGTGAACAGGCCATCAGGGTGAAACAAACTCTGCCCATTTGTTTCCGCCTCTGCCGGGGATCAAACCCGGACCCTTAGGACTACGAACCCGAGCGCTGTCCACTCAGCCGTCAGGCCCCTTATTGTATTCCAATAAGAGTACATCGCTCCACACAACTTCCATCTTCCTTAGTAGTCTATAAATAGCATTGCCTATATTGTTATACTACCTTAGCTTAGGATTCCATGACCACTGCCTTCACTGGTTTAACCAACATTTATCATATGTAGTGTCACTTAAGATTAACGTCTTTTCGGATTGGGAGATATGGCCCCTGCTTTATCCGGAAAGCAGGGGAGTTTCTGGGAGAGAAGAAAAATATTTGCCCAGCATTTTCCACGGGCACTGTGCGCGCCGTGTGTGGGCGGCATATTTAAGGGAATGTATGAGGGGGTCTCTCCCTCACTTACGCTGCAGCTCCAGTCCGCTTTGCATCGAAACAACACGACACCGCCATGACACTGCACAGCACGGGA